TCTTGCCTCAGTAGGAAGGTGATCATTTTCCCATCATCTATTTGAATAACTGGTTTTGCAAAACAAAATCAAATTAATGGCCCAGTTCTTCCTGTATTTGATGTAAAACTGCTTGGCCAACATGCGTAAGGACATGTACAGTAAAGGTGTCCTATTGGTGGTATCTCATGTTAGTCCTGCAAAGAATAAACCCACTGAAATGAATGGGAGTTAAGTCTGTACACTTCGTTAACACTGGATAATACACTGTGCCTGCACATACTGCAACACACATCAACTTATTGTCAACTAATCTCAGTGGAGTTGGGTGCCTTCTAAATACCACCTTGTAAAATCTTAAGATGCACAATTAATCTTAGTTACGCTACTGACTTCCACACCTATTTCTAGCTTTTGCTCTTAGGAAAGATTTCCTCAAGACCCCTTAATCATTTGGAATTCCCTTTTTTTAACTTGAAAATATTTCCATCTCAGGTTTGTATGTGGAGTATGGAACAATGAGAAAGGAGTCACTTATTATTCCAATATAAAGTCTGATGAATCATTTGCCAGGGATATATGCAGGAGGGTGATCTGCCTGGAAATGACAAATTACCTTCAGGTTAGATTGGGTGGTCTTTGGTGTGAGAAGAAGGATTGTATCCCATCCTTCATATGTACTGATGGTTTGCCTAAGATAAGAACCTTATAGTGTGAATGCTAAAGGGAACTGAGAAGAAGGGGAGACTGAAACTAGCCCTTTCTTCTCTTGAATCAGTAGGATTTTTGAAATATTTGATCAAAAACATTTTAAAGACTTATATTTGCCTAGCTCCAGAAATTTAATTTAGTGCTGGTGCAAAATAGTCAGTCCAGAAATGTTGATACATTTTCAGGAGAAGATGAAAACACCATATGAAGAGTAAAATATTAAATCTGAAGAATATTCTTAAGGTCTTATATCTGAAATACATGGTGGCAAGAGTTTCTCCTCTCCTCTCATTTATTTACAGCATTTATAAACTCCTCCATATCTAAATATTTTCTTGATAAGGAAATGAATTAATTAAAAATACAAAAGGATAAATAGGATATTTAAAACAGGATTCTAACAATAAAACCAATCTCAGGGAAGACTTGGTTAAATACAAATGGACTGAGCAAACACCAAAAGCAGAGCAACTCTGGAGCGTGTCTGATGTCAACTGGCAGGGGATTCCACTGTGCTGAATGCTCAGCTCTGGATGGATGCTCAACAGGCCTCAGAACCACAAGGAGCACCTCAGCCAGGACCTCAATGACTGGGCCGGTTGGCAGGGGCCCAGTGCCAACTTCCCTAGAGCTTTTTTAAACCAATAACAAAAACAATTTTTGCAAATAATATGTTTCCATCCACCATGTATACTAAAGCAACATGCATCGTTATTTAGCATATTATTCTAATATAAGCAAAGGCAAGCTGTATAGGGCTTAGAACACGAAACACACACAGATACCAAGGCCATACAGTATTTCCGCCAGGAAACTGGTTATGGGTGCTAAAAATGTTTTTCACAATTTTTTGACACACTGTGTTCAGAAAATTAGTCTAGCAGCGAGGGGAGGTAACAGCACTGTCTCTAGAGACAGAAGAAATGCCCGAGTCTATTTTTGGCCCTGGCATAAAGTTGGTGGGTGAGCAGTAAAGCTAGTATTAGAAACACAAGTGTGTAGAAAGATGCCTCAGATGGAAGCAGAAGGCCTGATTTAAACAAGGTGCCTGGTTTTAAGAAGGAAAAGTTCTTTGTGTAAGAATTCTGTTTGCCTGATGCCTTGTTCAAAGGTGCACAAAAGTGGCAGTATCTCTGACCCAGACAGATGCTGCTCCAGCATGCTAATGGTGTTGGATGGCCCAGCTTCAATATGCTAGTGCCTAGTAGGGTAGCTACCTGTGCATTGCCAAAAAGGAAGGCAGAACAGGATACCACTTTGCATAATATTTGCATATGCAAACTTATATGCCTACATGCAAATTTAGAAATCACAGCTATACTTTAAATAGGAATACAACACACCTCATTGTAGTCGAAAGTTTGAACAGCTGACCTGTGTGGATGCTCTGTCCACTGTCCAAGTGATAGCTTCAGACAGGCAACTTAAAAGTCTTCTCTCCTAAGGATGGCTCTGTAACTTTACATGAGGCTTGGACTAGACAGCTCATCTAGATAGGATAGCTCAAGCACAGGATTGCCCTATGCCAGCTCTACAATATATAGGATGTTCCTGAAAAGTAGGACATCTGACTACCACAGTGTCTAGCTTTTAATCATTAGGTATCACATTTAAATTGTGCCTAATACACTTTCTGTCAAAAGTTTTGCTGAAGCAAAATCAGCCTCTGTACAACTAGAAAATTTAAATGGAAAGAGAGTGAAAATGCAAGAGACACATGCTTTTTCTGCCCCAAAGATGTCTCAGCTGAAGACAGGAGATGTGTGTTCTGCTGATTTAGGCATTTTGAAGGTCTTAATTAGAACTTTCGGTACTCAAGACAGGCTTCTAATTCTTCACGCTATGTCCCGAACTCCAAAGCCAATTCAACACAATTTAGTGCTTTTCAAACATTCCAACTATCTATAGCTCCTGCTTCAGAAAACACTTCCAAAAAGCCTTAGGCTGAAATCCTATACTTATTTTTGAGTTGGGCTGGGGAAGACATGTGTTCATTTTGCATCTTAAAGCAAACGTACTGAATTTCACACTTCTGAATCATGATGTGAACTGAAACTCAGTTATGCTTTGAGATGAAGTCACATTAGGTCAGGTTTCTTAGGAAACCAAATGGAAACAGATCAGCACTGTAGTGTTGAAGCTGGAAGTTAGCCAGGGTTATTAAAGGGGCAGGGAGAAGCAACTTTAGCAAAAACAAAGAAAAAAGATACTGTCACCATAAACTTCACAGTTCTACTACTTATAAAAATGATATTTCTTGAGCTAAGAACATGAAACATGCTATCCATAATTTCCCTAAGGAGATTGACAATTCTACAAATTTGTGATCAATCGGATTGATATTGCCATAGGTGTGGCAAGTTAAAAATGCAGAAAATTGTGGGTTTTTTCCTCCAAGTTTTTCTCAGCAAATGATATATTGCTTTTAAATTTTGGTGAAAAGTACTGATGTACATTATTCTGACTTGCAACAGTAAAAACCAAACCAAAACAAAACGCATTTGAAAGATTTCCCTCTGCTCAGTACAGTTTGATGATAAACTACTAGAAATGTATAAGAATTCAGTTTTTGTTTACAAACCGTGCAAGCACGTTCTATTCGAAACCGTTATTGTGATTGGGAGCACAAGGGAAGTGTTTCAAATTGCCAAACTTGTTTCTTGTTTGATTTGTCCAACTGTCCCAGTTTACTTTTTCCTCCATAGATTAAATCAGTCTGCTTTAGTCTATGGACCAAAGTTGTCCAAATTAGGACATTTGGACAGGTCTGGGGAAAGCCAAGCAAATTTCACACTCAGTTACAGCTTGACTTGCACAGTTTGCCTGTTCACACAGAGTGGGTAGAAATGAGCCACATGATGATGCTCAGGGAATCCTAGAGTCTCAAACATCCCTGATTTGTTCATCCCTGTGAATTAGATGAGGGAAAGGCCTGGCACCTCATTTTCATGCACTGTCTGGTGAAGATGGCAATCACATAGATCCTCTTCCAGAGGATAATCCACACTGAATGTTTCTAGTGTTGGTTGGATGGCTTCCTTGATGTCTTGGGAGGCCTGTTGCTCTCTAATTAAATCGTTTTCACCAACAGGAGCTAAGGTGGTCCTTCTTCTACTTATAGGCTTGACTGGAGATGTTTGCACTTATAGGCTTGACTGGATTTGTGAGAGTTCTGTGCAGTTGGAGTAGCTTCCGCCCACCCTCTGGCTGCCTCTTTAAACCCCTCCTTTGCTTCATACAGTGTGCAACAGAGCACTGAAATAGTGCCATCAAGTCATTAGCATATATTTGAATTTCAGTACAGCTGCTAAGCTCAGAGAACCCACATGGCTCCACTGATTACCAAGTCAACTGTGCAAATGTAAGGAAGTCCTTGGGACTGGTTGTGGCCTATTTATTGTTTTTATTTTTTATTGTAATTCATTTAAAATTAACATAAACACTGAAAGATTTAGGACTCTGCAGCCTCCAAAAGCCTCTGGCATTTTATGCAAGCTGGCACCTTCAATCTGAACCACTTCAAGAGTGATAACAGTTGCTTTGAAATTGACACGGTTCATGCAGAAGCTGGTCTTCAAAGAGAAGAACTGGCATTAAAAAATAAATAAATCTCACAATCCCAGTTTGTGTTCCAAGCCCATGGCACATACATATCCTGTGAAGGATGCACTGTGCGGTTATTTTGTACTTAATAAAATTAACATTAGCTACAGAAAATAGGATTTGAGGTGACATTTCAGCCAAGAGTGGGGGGGGGGGGGAGAATAGCAAAACTCTGATACTGTTTTAAATCCCTAGCATGATTTTATTAGCTTCCTAAACCAAGCCTGGCTCACTACACCAAAGCGATATCCAGAACAAGAGCAAACCAGAAAGAATAGATTGCTTATTTCATATAATCTTGCCCTGAAGAGCCCATATTTTATGACTCTAGCATGCTGACGCAGGACATCTACTTGTGCTTATTTACTTACATCAGCTGTGAAGAGGGATAATTTGTCAAAAAGGTAAAAAGAAAGAAAGAAAGTGCAGAACTGCATGAGATGCATTTTCCCCCCAAGCAACCTGGAGAGCAAAACCCTATCTGAGCAATTTATCATTGGGAATTATTCATCTATCATTATTTCATGAAAATTCAAAAGCAAGCAATGGGTATTCTATTCCCTCAGAAATGTGCATTGAGGAAGAGCATGAACAATCAATGTCTTCACAGGGATTGTATTTTCCCTTTCATTTACCCCTTTCCCCTTCCCTCTCTCTGTAACACGGCTAATCAATATCTGGAATGGGAATAATGTTGTCTGACTTACGGTTGGCAGTCCTGCTTTGATCACTCTGGGCACTGTCATTGGATTGGTTGCTTGAGATTGAGGAGACGCTGGAGCTGCGGACAAAACCAAACGCTGCCAATTTAGCAGCTGGCAGTCGCGAATATCCAGGAGGCCGGAGTCCAGACTGACATGGTTTAGGAAGATTTGACTTTGTGGCATTTGGATTCGAGCCTTTTTTAATATCAGCTGAAACAATAAAATGAAAAACATGATAGGAAAACTGTAAAAATGTAGGTATGTCACATGAAGATAACCAAAACAGAAACAAAAACTCCAAAACCAATCATAATTGTTTACCAAAAATAGGTCAGAGCAAAATGAGGCCATTCTCTTCACCTTTTCCAAACAGGGAACATTAAAAAACAAAACCTTACAGATGGTTAAAAAATTGAAACATATCAATAGTTTGCAATTGTGAAATCAAAATACCTTTAGCACAGGAGTGGAAAAGCTCTGGTATGGGGGATAAACTCAGGGAACCCACATGGCTCCACTGATTACCAAGGTGACTGGTCTAAGGGAAACTGTACTTGGAATATTGTATTCCACATTCTGGTTGCCGCACATCAAAAAGTATCTTCTAGAGGTATAGAATCATACAGTTCAAAGAGGCCTAGCAGGCCATTGGGTCCAACCACCTGCTCAATGTGGGATTCAAGTCACCCATCCAGATTTCAATGAGGCCTGACCCTGCTTAGCAGGATCAAGCACTTCAAGATATATGAAAGGTAGAAAAGGTACAGAGAAGGAAAACCAAAATGATCAGGAGACAGGAGAAATTCCCTATGAGGAAAGATTGCAATTGTTTGAAAATGTGTCCTTGAGGGAAAAATGGTGAGTTATAAGAGGCAATGTCAGAGAAGTATGTCAGTCAAATTATGCCAGTCAAATTATGCATGGCCAAATAACATGATTGCTTTTCTCCTTTTATCATAATACTACAACCCAGTGGGTCATCTCAAAAAGCTCATTGGTTAGAAATTCAGGATGGATAAATGGAAGTACCTCTTGACAAACATAGATCAAATATGGAATTCACAAGTTATGTGAAACAAATTCATGGAGGGTAAGGCTACCAATCCAAATATGGAAAGAATTTATTCCATAAAGGAAGTCACATCACTGAATTTACAAGACCAAGCATGGATAGGATATTCTGGAGAGCTTTCATTCATAGGGTTAACCTAAGGCATTGATGACGGCACATAACAACAAGACTATCAATAGCTACTAGTTATGGTATCTACATCCAAGATCAGAGGTACGAGGATGATCCTGGAGTTGTCAGTAGAAGCTAATCTCCTTGTGTTACGGGAGTAGCTATGTTTGGGCCACTCATGGTAGGACATCCTGATCACCCTGTGCCTTGACAGGAGTCCAAGACACCACCAATATTAATGATGAACACTCACTCAGATCAGCTCAGCAAATCCAAGCGTGACACAGATCCGACTATGCTAAAACAGTGTAGCAGCATTACAGCTGGGCTGCTGAAGCTGATATGAAAGAAAATTAATGGCAGGAAGAATGCAATATTGAAACTCTCTCCTACAGGGAACTACATTTTTACAACAAATTAAGCGTAAAATAGTAGAATTGAATAGCCTTATTAAAGAGTTATTTCACAAGAACTTTCTGACTGGTGTCTTTATGATTTAGAATGTACCTGTTCAGCAGTGCTATAATTTCCAGTCTGAAGATTTTCCAGGAAATGGTTGACAGGCATTCAGTAGAAGTGGCTTACACACAGGACAACTTGTTTAGACTTAGTGTTTAAACTGTTATGAATGCCTTTCCCACAGTAGACAATTCCTGCAATGGGTGTAACCGTTAAACCTCATGTTCCCTATACATCTCCCTATTTGCATCAAGCATCTGCACAGAAATGCTACTACCTGCAAGGCTGCGTAGTGGCACCATGCTGATGCTGCATGTGATTGAAGTGACATGTGTGGTAAAGGGTTTTTCAGGGTTATACATAGAGCACCAAAACAGGGCAGACTCTTTCAGTAGCAGTACTGTTTTAATTTGCCTTGAGACGGTGGGTAGCTTGCAGTGTGCACTTGCTCCGATTAAAGGAATCCTGATTTTGATTCCAGCCACTTCATTGCAGCACCTATTACAACTCATTTAGCAGCCCCTTTCAGGTCCTTTTGACCCATTTCCGCAGCACACAATGCTAGGTGGCTTTATTCAGAATCCAAATAGCAGCAAAATGTTTGACTCCAGCGACAAGTTGCTATTCTTCACTAAACGTTTGCACATTCATGGGACTCAATTTCCATATTTGTTTTTGAAGCACTGCCTTTTTTAGGTTACACCTTTGAATATGTGACAATATTTTGTCCTGAGGGCTACAGAATTTTTGGTTTTTTAAAGTGTAGCAGTCTTTCATTTTCATTTTATCTTGTATAAAGAGTATTCATGTTCTGGACAGCATTATGTTCATCTCCAGCATTAGTTTTTAAAAACCTGCAAAAACAAATGGGAAGAAATGGCCAAATATTTACCCCCAGCCCCAGGCTGCCTGAAGCCAGTTGTAGAATGAAGCACTGTTGACTGTGTTAAGCGATTGATTCCTTTGAGACCAGAGTCCCTGACAGAAATGATGCAGCTCTTTTCAAATAGAGTTTGGCTGAGACCTAATAGAGGTAACTCTGGAGTTATAAGGACGTGGCTCCAAGCAATTGTGAAGGATGTAGCCACAAGAACATCATAATATTACTTTTCTATATCGCCCATAGCCTAAGCTCCCTAGGTGGTTCCCAACATTAAGTCACCCATCCAGATTTCAACCAGACCTGACCCTGCTTAGCTTCCAAGATTAGGCAGGATCAGGCACTTCAGGCTATTAGGACACATATGCAGGATATGATACGGGGCTCACATAGCCCATGTGCCCCAGGAAGAAGGGATCAATCCTTGCCATCTGCAGGTAGGAAAGGGAAAGAATCCTTACAGCTTTGTGAAAATGGCCTTTCTATCCACCCTGTTTGTTGGGAGAAGGATTGTTTTGCCATTCCCCCCAGTCCTCGAGCATGGAGAAAACAACAGCCCCTAAAATATTCTTGAAGATTCTGCAATGGCTTCCTTTTCTGGGGTGGGGGCAGTGGGAGCCAAGAAATCCTTTTGCTGGAAACATCTCTTGAGCAACGCCTGCTGCCTGAAACCCTGGGCACTGATGCCGCTTCATGTAGGCAATGCTAACCAAGATGGGCCGAAGTCCAATTAAGCATGAGACAGCCTATAAGGCAGGGCTAGGGCAGTATAAGGGACCCTACCTGTGTTTAAATGGATCCACCCCAAAGGAGGACATAGATGGCCAAATAATTAATACATTTAAATGAGCACATTATGTATGTGATTTTGTGTGTGTGATTTTATTTAGATTCTGTTGCAGTTTGTATAGCTGGAGCTCAGATTTTTTTAAAGACTACTTTGTATTCTTTCAATTATGTATAATTACTGGTATTTTAAAAGGGATAACTATGTCTCTCCAGCATTCATCTCAGTCTGAATATAGCTACAAAGGCAGGGCATTCCCTCACAAGCACAGTTCTAGTGGTCTCCCACAGTATCTATTTACAGGTTGACTAGTAACAAACATGGCATTAAGTATTTGCCCTGTTCCCTATAGTCAGCCAGCCAATGAAGGCTACAGTGGCTTGGACTAATAAACCTTTTTATGTCCACCTCTGAGAGCCCTGCAGGTGCAGAGAGGCGCCAATATTCACTTCAGGTGCCTTGCAGGATAAATTCTGTCAGCTTTTTTGGAGAGCTACTAACTTCCATGCTGTTCAAGAATTGGGAGAGTCCTGTTTACAGTGAAGATGAAATCTTCATGGCTGCATATTGTGCTTGCCCCTAGTATTACAGCAATGTGGATACCTTTGTTTAATTGCTTAGTGATTTAGGATACACTATTTTTAAAAAGCTAGTTTATGGTCTTGAAGCTAAAGACAAAATTAGGCTGAAAGTGAAGGCAATTAGCAATTAATGACTTGTCCTGCGGTAGGGGCCCGCAGGAGGCAATTCTTCATTCCTCCTAACTTGATAACAGTCATGGGAACACAAGCAGCTGCTTGTGGGCAGAAAGGCAGCCAAGCATTCAAAAGCTGAATAGTACGGGCCACATGTGCTTCTGTTGGGATGCAGCAGTTTTCCTCACTCGCCTGAGATGGCTCCAGTCAGGAAAACTCAAGCTGCAGAGAAGGTTTTTACAGAGCCATTCTTCTTTTGACCTTCATCAATTGCACTCGAATGGTTATATCAGCACCAGCATGAATTGAGCGTGGCCCTGCATCTTCTTTTAGAGATGACAGACCTCTGCATGGATTGCTCCAGAGGACTATCCTCCATTTTGGAGTGCTATTTGTGCCAAATCTGGTTTAAAGAAGAACCACCATCAGAAGGGAGAGCTGGACCTTGAAGCTGCCCATCAGCGGCACCTGGACAGCAGATTAAGCAAGGCTCACAGCTCACCTGGCAATGGTTTTCTATGTTAAGGGGAGATGTACCATAATGTGTCATGGTTGTTATGGGCTGTCAAGTCATCTTTGACTTATGGTGACCCTATGAATGAAGACCCCCCACAAAAAATGTTCTGTCCACAATAGCCTTCCTCTTTTTAATTTATGAAAAATTGTTATTGAAATAAATTAGCACATGCAAAATTTATGTAATAGGAGTTCACTTTTGTCCTCTTATTTGGTGATTCAATAGTGGCCACCCAACACAAATTGCAGAAGTATTCTCCATTGTACCTAAGAAGTCATGCATATGGTGGAATAGTTCCTGCACCAATGTTTTCAGCTGAGGGTAGACATGGAGATGTATTGTAGTGAAAACCATGGCTGTATGAGCAAGTGTCTTGAGCAAGCGGGGACCTGAATTTTCAGTGTCTAGCCTGGCACTCCAACTGCTAAGCCATGCTGGCTCTTTGGGGAAAGGAGACTGTGTCAGGAGAAGGAGGCATGGCCATCTTGGGAACCTCAGAGGGCTGCATGGGGCTCCCAAGGTTTGAAGTTCCCCACCCCTAACCTAAGCTTCATCCCCCACCCTAAAATATCTACAGTATAGCAGACTATCCTAGAACAAACCTTCCCCATTGATTCCCTTTGCCTTCTTCCTTCCCTCTTGTTCACACCAGTAAAATATCTTTCCTTTCAACCACCTGCAAGGTAATA